TGGGGTGGGGAAGTGCTCTAGCACCACGGAGGAGGGACTGGAATCCCTGTAAAAGCACCGAGGGGTGGAAGGTTCTGGAATGGGGTGTGGGAGCGCGGCCAGCAGCGCTCCACACCGGGATGCTCCATAGGGCACAGCTGGGATGTCGCTGGCAGCACCTGGCTGGGTGATGGGCAGCCCTGGCTCGGCTTCTCCGTGGCCAGCTTGGGATGGAAAAAAGGAAAGTATAGGAAAAGTTTGCACCTTAATAAAGAATAAAAGCAAGATTTCAAGATCTGATGAGAAACGCCAAGGGTTGGGAGCGCTCAGCGCTGCCCAGCAGCTCCGGGATGGGGAAAAAGGGGCCTGGGGGTGTTCACTCCAGCACGTGGGATCACCCCAGCACCTGGTGGTTCCGGGATGGGCAAGAGGGGACGGCGGTGGCTACCCTGACACATTGGATGGCCGTGGCACTGGGAACCACCCCACGGTCAGACCTCAGTGAAGACCAGCCCACACTGCTCCTGCCTCTTGCCGCAGCGGCGGGCAACAATGGCCAGGTAGAGGGTGAGCAGGGCCACCCAGTAGCAGGCGTAGAGGATGGCACCCGAGACAAGGAAGGCCACCTCGGTCTCGCTGAAGAGGTCCTGGCTGTAGGCGGTGTAGGCCAGCCCGCCCAGCAGCACCGCCACCCACACGGACACCGGCAGCAGCCCCACGAAGTTCACCACGATGGTGCGGCGCCCTGAGGTGCCCCAGCCCGACTTGTTGATGGTGGCAATGGCGAAGATTTTGGCGGGCAGCAGGCTGGACATGTAGAGGAGGGCGTAGAGGGACATGAAGATCATCTCGGCGCTGCCGCGCAGGAAACAGGCGTAGGTGGCCTTGATGACGCCCACCAGCTGCACCGTCAGCAGGAACAGGAGGATGTTCCAGACGCGGCCGCGGTAGAAGAGCTGGATGACGGTGGCGATGAGGAAGAAGGGGAAGAAGCCGGTGACCACCGACTCGTAGGTCATCCAGAGGTGGTGCTTGTGGAACCAGAGCGCGTTGTAGAGCCACTCGCGGAAGTAGGACTTGCTCCAGCGGGTCTGCTGGTTGAGCCAGCGCAGGTAGCGCGTGGGCGTCTCCGTCAGGCACTTGGAGCGAGCCGTGTACTTGGTGCGGTAGCCCAGGCTGAGCACGCGGTTGGTGAGGTGCCGGTCGTCCCCAAAGCTGCACTTGCTGCCCAGGAAGGTCTGGTGGTACCAGTCCTCGAGGAACTGCTGCAGCAGCGCGTTGCGGTACATGCCCAGGGGGCCGCTGATGCACTGCACGCACCCGAAGTACGACTGGCACGCGCGCTCCACGTTGAAGGCCATCCAGTACCGCACGCTGCTCAGGAAGGACAGCCACGAGTCGTACTTGTTCAGGATCTG